TCATCATAAAATTTGTGATTGTCCTGGACAACATATCAGCTCTCTTATGGCCCCGAACACACTGGTGTCCCGGAACCCAATGAAGCTCGACCTTGACTCCCATCGAGCAGAGCCGGTGAGAAAGAGCGTCAACAAGACGCACTAGACGGCCAGCGAGTGGGCTCAACTTCTTTGTTCTAGGCCGCAGCATTTCCATGGCCGCTTGGCAGTCCGTGAAGACCTGGACAACATGACCTGACACTTGAAGCCGCTCCAGGTGGCGGACTGCTGCTCTCAGACCGGCCCCGATAGCAAACAACTCAGCCAACTGGCTGAGCCGGATCTCTTCGAGGCAGTACAGCTCGTCCGCGTCTTGTCCGTTGTGCCCGTGGATAACTGCGACTCCAGATGGCACTGCCTCGTTGGCGGCTGTCGATCCGTCCACCCAGAAGACATGATAGTCATCTGGGGACGTCTCTGTCACCTCCTTGGCATAGTTCAAAGCTTCTTGACGAGGCTTGATCAGCAACACTCTGTCAAATCTATCATCCTCAATCCGGATGGTAGTTGGAGGCTGCTGCTGCTGCTGCTTCTGTTTCTTCTTTTGACTCCCAGAGTGCTGCTTCCTACCCCCACGCTTGTTCGACTTCTTCGTCCCGACGGACTCGGTCGTTCCAGAAACGGAAGCAGCACTCCGATGCGGGTCTGCATGGCTTTGGGAATCTTCACTAGTGATAGTTATGCTGCTATCACTATTACTAGTACTGCTGCTAGCACTTCTGCGCTTATACCTCTCGAAGACAGGGGCAGTACTACCCTGGTCTTCATTGGTTTGGGAATCTCGATTTCTCTGGCTGACGCCGTCAACCCGGTCAAGGTAAGGATCGATCACTTGAGAACCTCGAGCGTCGTCCTTAGCCCTCTGTGCTTTGCCTTTCCTGGAAGGAAGCGTGCGCCCTCTGGGTCTGATGTTTCGAGGAGCTCTGTGACCCCAACTCATGGTAGTCACCGTTGTGGGATTCTCAACCTCCATGACTATATCCCTCTGGAAACAAATGAAATGGAATTTTGTCTGGGGGAAATACTTCGACTTATTATGTGAAATATAATACCAGGCAGTGTCTTACAGGTTTGATAAGAAAAAGTGAGATCGTTTTTGTTCGAAGAACTTATGATGTGGAGGTGGGCGAGTGGATGGTTTGAGACAAGAGCGGATGGGTGCCTCTGCTCTGGAAGAGTGCCCCATCTGAGTCAAGTCGACAATCTGTACGTCTTTGAAAGACAACATGTATGCAGCATAATGACGAGATGTCCAGTCAGCCATCGAACACGACAGAATGCTGAGGTGTCTTGTATGGGGGCTTATATGACAGACTGGAAAGCCAACGGTACGAAATTTGGGTCCGAAAAGCATTTAGCTCGAAGAGTGATGGAACCTCGATTCTTACTGCAGCTCTGCGCTCACAGCGTGAACCTATATTGTCAAGCTACTGCTTTGAAATACTTCTATCGAATCAGGCTCCCATCCAACCATTGAATCTTGTCATTTGAGGCAAATGGATAGCCGCGGAAGAACAAAACTCTGGCTGTCTTTACTCCATGAGGTTTCTGGACCAACTATGACGCTTTCAGGGCTTTTGCGTGCTCGGTAGACGCCCGGGATGTTAAGGAGAGAACAAAGCATGGTAGCAATGCCAAGGCATCTCGAGTCGTATCAGTAAGCGCAGTTTGTGAGTTGATACAACGTTGGAATGGCTTGGGATTTTGTCAGATGGGCTCAAAGCCTACCTTTTTGGTTTCTAATGATAACGTCCGTTGCAATCGTATGGCGGGGTTCAATCATCTATATAGATGCGGTAAGCGAAAGCTTAGTTGTAGTCATGTTGACGAAATCTTTTTCTATCTACCTTAATCTCCACTATAAATAGTAGCCTTGGCTCGGTCATAGCATCGGTCCTCCGAGTTTATTTTCGAAGAGTTGTATATACTATCACTATCTCAGGATGACTGCTACATCTAGTAGCACTGCGCGATGTCTACTTCACTAGTAAGTCGAGGCTCACTATCAGCTGACCGCGTGGACCGAATGACGCCTAGTAGTTTCTGCCTGAACAATGTCTTCCTCTCCTACAACAGGGCTCCATATGGTTACTACCACATACTTACTAGCTGGTAGTACTCATTCTCGGTCATCATGCTTCAATTGTACTGGTATGTGAAGCAGAGCATCTCATACCATGCGCATGGGCCTGTCCCCTAATATATTCTTACTAGTATCTACTTCGTTGACGAGCGGCGTGCAAGTGGCAGTAAGCTTCGAACATAACTCTGCTTATTTTTCGAAGAAACCTTATAGCATTACGTTTCTATGCTGATCAATGAACCGCATGCTCGCAAATCACTAGGTTTGTGTCAGGCTCATGAACATGCGCTTTACATGTTAGCAGAAGACCCGGATTTTCTTTTCATAACGAACCGCTTGAAAGTTGACAATTCCACACCAGGTGTTCAAATGAGGGACAGACAGCACCGTCTAACGGGGTCAACCTTCGTCTCCACATCGACGTATAGTCATCACCGCAGTTTACATGGACATGGTCCCGCCGGAGCCACTGAGCCATGGGTACGATGGGCTGAAGAGGCCCGCAGTCTCGACCCTCTGCTCCGCTGCCAGGGCATGCATTTAGATGATATTCGAATAAATATATGGGGCCGATATGTCCTCCTGATGCGATAGACCGTTAGTTCTGCTAGGCAAAAGGTAGTATAGATGAGCTTTTGGGGTGGTGTTAGCTAGGTAACTGGGGTGAAAGCTCAGGAACTGATTTCTGGTTCAGACCGCGCCGAACGGGACCAAACGGAAGGGTAACCAGCCAGAGGAAATTGAGAGGTGAGGTATGAGGCTTCGTGGCAACCGTGGCCTGGGTGATAAGTATGATCGGTCTGGTCTACATTCCAAGGGGTCCACAGTACAAGTATCTGACAGCATTCCTGAAGATCAAACGACCAGCTGGCAAGTGGGGTTTGAAAATTACTTGACGCGCCGCGCGTGGTGGAGAGATACATACTATTGTCGCCTGCCATGTCAAAAGGTTAACGAAGATTAACTCTTTTTTTGTCCGTGGCAGGGAAAGCAGAGGTATGTCATTGATTGCTTGCTCCACGGCTCTTGATATGGCCATTGTCGAAAAGACCTAATTGAAGATTTCTTGTATTTGAGGATGAATGGATTGAGCGTGCCATTGTCGATAGGTAAACTGGTCAGTCCATGTACTTTCCATTCATTCACCACCGATACTTCTGATTCCGGCGCGTACCGTACATCAGCCCCTGACTCCGGCCCAGACTTTGAGATCTCGTGCACATCTGTATAATTATAGCTGCGTACAGAGGAGGGATGAAGAAATTGCAGCGAGTAAGGACAGAATTCACACCTCACGTCCTAGAATCGGTGTTTCAGGTCCATGCAGTAGCGACAGAGACATGGGTCAGTAGGCGCCGGGGGGCAAATGGAACAATATATATGAAGAACCTAATCAAAGGCGCTTCGAGCTGAAGAGAAAAAGATAATTATATCATGATCGGTCGAATCTAGACTAGATCGACGCCTCTTGTATGCTGCTGTTACACCATGTACGGAGTTTCTATTGTCTATCTAGTGGCCAACCGACAATCAATAGACGGGCTGCCGTAGCGCCGGCTTCAAGGGGGTGTGCAGGTGGTGAAACATGGGGTGGGGATACGTGGTCGTGATAGACACGCGCGAAGGAGCGACGGGCGCGCCATGCGTCGTGGAGGGGACAGTTTGGTTGGTGAAGAGGCACGAAGGGGAAGAAAGGGTCGTGATGGCAACGCGTTAAAGGGGGGATGGATGAATGATGGACGGGTGGGGAGAAGGAGAGGGAGAGAGAGAGCAGCTATGGAGACAAACGTTCTATAAGGTTTCAATGGAGTTTGATGATAGAAGTAGATTCTAAACTAGTGAAGAGGCAAAAGGCGATAGGCATTTTAGATGATCGACTATACCCGATGATATCATGAGTAAGTGAAGAAGAGAGAGAAAGCACTAATCGCCAAATTTCATCTTGCATGCCGCATTGGGGGAAGAAGTAAAAAAAGTAAGCCCTGAATAGCGCGACGCGACGTGATGAAGAAGGGCTGAAATGAGATGGGGGGGGGGTCGCAACCAATAATCGATCAATAATGGGTCTCGAAGCCTTGCATGGGACCATCGGTAGTTTAAGTCAGTTGTGGATTTAGCCTCCGTCTGGAATTCTCGGGGTTCCCTGGCCATCGTCGATCCCATCCCATTTGGCGGGCGACACGAACTTGACGCGCTTCTTCGCCTTGACTCCATTCCCTGCTTCTGACTTACTTATACAACTCCACCTCCACGTCCACGTCCACGTCCACGTCCACGCTCTCGCGCTTCTCTACCCCCTCCCCTCGTCGACTTAAATTCTTTTTCTCTTTTAAACATTTTTCCAAACCCTTACCCTTGAAACCCGTTCATCTGCATGTTTCGACTGTCGTGCAGAAACCTTGGAATGAGCCTTGAATGACCAGCAGCCCACCGTTTTCCCTGCCCTCTCCATTTTTAGGCATTCTTTCTCGGTTGACGCTGCCTACCACCACCTGCCTTTTAAACAGCCCTTGCCTCACTCCAACTCTTATATCTCCTCGCCTGGTCCCCTCGTTCCTCTAGTCCTGTCACTTCCCATTGTCATTGTCTTTGTCCCCTTCTAGTCTGGACTTCCAAAAAGACTGGATCGTAGATTAACCTTAACTGCTTTCTCCATCCTATCCAATTCACTCAGCCTCTCCCGCTCCAATCCTGACCGTCGATCTTCTTCCCTCTCCAGACCGCCAATCAATCTACCAACCCCACTCACTTCACTCCCTCGACGCGACTTAAAACAACTCGTCTCCAACACGGCCTCGTTGCCTGTCTAAACACCTCTATACATCCCTTTCGGTGCACTCAATCCGCTATTTGTTGTCTATTCCGGCCTGTATACAGCATGGTCGCTCTCACCATGACCCCTACCACCATGCGGCAGCCATTTGCCAGCTTGGACGCGCCACGCATGCGCTCCTTGCTCAAGACTAGAATGAACATGAAGAACAAACAAGATGGTATGAACATGCGAAACTTCGCCCCATTCTCACCACGCGCCTCATAGCTAACATACTTTCCTATAGGTGCCATTCTTTCGGGAAAGAGACAGCCCCTGTCGGACGTGGACTCGGAGAATATCGACCCAACCACTTTCAAACAATCCGCCAAACGCAAGCGTGGTGCCGACGATGATGACCTGGAACCTGCCAAGGAACCCTGCAAGCCATTCAAAACCTCTCGCATGGTTCTGACCACCGTCAAGTCGACCACTGTCACTCCTCGCAAGCCAACCACCACACCCACCAAACCAACCGTGTCTACTCCCAAGTCCGCTCCCAACCTTCGGCCAGCTGGACGTTCACCACCGCCCAAGTCTTGCAAGCCATTCTCTCGCCGTTCTACTATCGCGAAAAGCCGTCCCGAGTCCGTTAACCGGAAATCCGTCCACCGCCCATTCTCTCTTGCAACCGCTCTGTCTGGCGCAAAGGCAAAGACTCAGCCCAGCCCCAAAGCTCCTGCGTCCTGGTCATTCGATATCCATGTGGACACCGAACAGGAAGAGATGACCAACCTCATGCAACACTCCACCTGTGTCCTGGACATCAGCGACCAGGAAGGGAAAGTTGAGACCTCTGGTCGAGGCAAGGAGAATGTACCTCCGGCGGAACTCGGACTTGATCTTCCCCGTTCTCGTCAGCAGGAGTCCCCTGCGGCTGCGGCGCGCAAGTCTGTCATGCTGGAGGAGTCTCGTGAGCCGTTGGGTGACCTCAATGCCGCTGACTACTACGGTGATGACTGCCATGCCTTCTCCTATGCCGTTGTCTATGATGACGAGACCGACGAGAATGCGAAGAAGGCCCCATCAGTACCACGCTCCACCCCCAACTCGGCCCGCAGTAAGCTTTCCAACGTCTCCTCCGTCTCTTCCTTGCTTGAAGTAACTGCCCCTGCCAAGCCTACCGCGGACGCTGAGCTTGAAGCTGAGGCGGCAATTGAGATCTGGGAGAGCGAGAGTGCTGCGGAAGAAGCCGCCGATACCAACTGATTCCGCGGCCCCCACTTGATAGCCCACCTCTATCACCCATCATTCATACCAACAAGAGTTATATTATATGGCGTTCGGATTACTCCAGGGTTGTACAGCATCGTTTTTGGATACCCTACCTATACAGTCTTTTTGATTTCGTTTGGAGCCCGTTTTATACCGACCAGATCCGTCACGAGACGAATTTTCTTGAGTCCTTTTTCCTATTATCACGTCCAGAACCTACACCACACCATACCTTCCTATTCGACTTCCCACTGTCTTACCCGAACTACTACCTACCTCGACACGAGTCACTATCATTGGCCTGAAGTATAATGGCCCCCTCCGTCACCACTCTTTTGCGCATCTGATGAATGCTGCGTCCGTTACCTACCTACCTCCTAATGACCTAAGAATGTGTTACGTCGCTTAATGCCTGTATGAGATACATACCCTCAGTTTAATCAAAAGCAAAAAAAAGAGAATGAGAATACAAATAAAAATACAATATTATGAACAAAATTCTTTCCATAAACTAGTAATTAGTAAATTGCATCTACAACCAACCAAGTACACTAAGCTCTTCGTCTCGTAGCTCTTGGGGTCTCAACACCACCCATCTCCGTATCCTCATCTTCCCCGCCGTCATCCTCATCAGACTGTTGCTCATCCTCATCTTCTTCCCCATCTACATCATCATCCTCTTGTCCCCCACCCGACGCCGCCGCCGCTTCCGCCACAGCCTCCGCCAACTCCTCCTGCTCAAACGCCTCCTCCTCCCCCTCACTCAACATTTCCCCGCCACCATCCCCATCACCATCACCACCCACCTCATCCTGAAACTGCACCCTCCGATCCGCCCTCTTCTTCCCCTTCCTATCACCCTCCTCCCCAACCTCCTCCCTCCCCACCACCCCCTTCTTCCCAGCAGCACCACCAGCACCACCAACCCTCTCCTTCCACGCCGGCGCCCCCTTAATAATGCCCCTCACCTCCGTGGCCATCATCATCTCCCTCTGCGACGCCACCGCCGGATCAAGCCAAAAGTCCACCATGACCGACTCCGGCGTAGCATGATCCGGCAACTTGACAATATTCGCAAACTCGACCTCATCATCCAACATCTTATCATCCAACAGCGCAAGCACCTTCGCCCGCATAATCGTCTTCGTCTTCGCCAACGTCCCATTCCCGAACCACCCATCTGTCAAGATATCGCATTCCTCACGCAGGAAACCCGCCGGCGGCGGATCAGCTGGGAATAAGATCCTCCGGAGTGTGGGGTCCGTCACGTCGCAGAACATCCACATGCGTCCGTCGCGCGGGAGCGGCAAACAGCCTGTGAAAAGGTGGGTTGTTGTAGGGAGTTGTTGGGTTTCCGTAGGTTGTTGGTCTGGGTGCTGGTGATGGGTTTCGTCAAGGTATTGGGGTACTTCGCCGGCACGGGCGACGGCGTGACGACGGCCTGTGTACCCGTCTCGTGCGACTTCGGCTTCTCGGGGTAGGATCCGGAACATGGCTGTTTGGTAGATTCGGTAGGAGGGGTCGGTGCGTGGGTCGTGCCCGTATTTGATTATGGCGTCGCGCCAGGGCCCCGAGCGGAAGATGTACCCGACGTAGGGAATTGCGTGGCGGAGGGCGTAGCGTTGTTCGATTGTCGGTAGGGAGTTGCGGAGGCCGCGGCGTGTCCAGGCGGGGCGTTGTTGGAAGAGGGTTTCCACGGCTGTGATGGTTTCTTGGAGGGTTTTGTCGAGTGTGTGGATGGGTGGGCAGTTCGTGCGCGGGGAGGTTGGGACCGTAGCGATGTCGTAGGATACTAGGTGGGTTAGGACTTTTACCACTCGTTGGGTGTTTACTGTTGTTATGTTGCCTGAGTTGTCGATGGCTTGTCGGACGGTGGGGTTTTGGCGGTAGCTTTGGGGTTTGATGTTAGTTGGATGTTTAATTGGGATGGGCATTGGGATGGAGATGGGGCTTACATGTAGGTGAAGGGGATGTCTCCGAAGCTGAAGGATGGTGGAGGGATGATGTCTACGTCGGTGATGGCGCCTTTGCTCATGTCGAGGTCGAATTGTTTCATTTTGTCGTCTGTATCCAGTCAGTTTGTGTCGGATGGTGATGTGGGAGTAGGACTCGTACAGTCAAATGGCAATATCTGCTCCCGGAATCGGTTGGCAAAGGAACTGGAGCCCGTAGAGAAGACAAAGTCCGGCATTCCTGGTTGTGTAAGTATCATGTAGGCCAATACATTTACGTGGGTATTCTGTAGACTCACCCCGAAACACATGTGTCCGGTTAACCAAGCCCACCGGCTCGACCTGATACCTGGATGCATTGTCACTGAGACTCCGCAGCAGTTCTCGAGCACTGCGTCGTTGCGGCTCCGTATGCACCGTGGACACGGCAACGCCGCTAAAGGGCTCATTCGAGCCCTTCTTTCGCTTGCGACCTGTCCTCTTTGGTACCGTCACCTTTAGAAGGATGTTGTTGGACGGTAAGCTGGTCGACTGGAGCGGCCTGGACATGGCATCCTCCGGCCGGAGAAGCAGATGAGCCGGGCTGTCGGGCTTTGGGGGATGCAAGATCTGGAGTATTTTGTTAGTACTTCTGAGTGATAGTGAATTGGGTGGGTCAACGTACTTTGGTTATGCCCGCATCCCCCTTCAGTGTGTCGACAGCCTTGTCAAGGTTTCTGATAATAGCTGGATGCTCGACGCTGACGATGCGACGTGAAGGTATTTGGTAAAATGGCGCTGTTCTGGCGCCATGTTGGTCTGTCATGTTGTCTGTACGGCGTAGATGCGCCGTGTGTAGCCCTTGTTGGGCTATTTAATCATGTGTCAGGAGCGTTTGGGGAAAATGCTATCCCTAGGTCGAAGCTATATAAATGCGGATAAGTCTGCACAAATATGGAGCTAGGATTGACGTCAACCGTTAGTATCCAGGGGTCTTAAAGTTAATTCACATCTACTACAACTTGCTGAGCCGGTGAATTGGTTTCACTAGATCAGGCTCGGTACCAGAGTGTACCATGAAACTAACTACTACAGCAGAATCCCCCATTCCTGTGCATGCTTCACAGCCAACCTGGAGGGGAAAGATGGATGTCGATGCTAGGAATCTGCAAGTCACATGACCAACCAACAGCCACACCATCATCCCGAATCCCCCGTCAAAAAATCAGATGGGAGGGAAAAAAAGCCGCGACTGAGACATGCTGGATGGGTGGATTGCTATTTTCTTTCCTCTAATAAGATGATGCGGTTGCTTTCTTTTCTTTATTATTGTTTTTTTAAATACTAGTTTCTTACTCGGGGGGAATGCGCTGTCTGTCTGACCCCTTGCCTGTAGTTGCACTTCGAGACAGTTCAACATGAACCCTCCGGAGGGTGGGAGAGTAGTAGTAGTAGTAGATGGTCTAAGTATAAATTTCGTAATGCTGAGGCGCCCCTCCCATTTCATTTCGTTTGGACCTCTTAAAACCGGTTGATTCCCGATTCCCATCGTGCTGGTGGTCGGCAGGTTAAAAAAGGTAGTTTGGTAAAAGGGACCCAACCAGGCCCACGACCTGACCTGCAACCACTAAGAAGACTACGTCCGAGCGCTCTTCTAGTCAGTCATTTCAATCAGTCCGTTAGCCACAGCCTCAGGCCAGTCTGCTGCTCTGCTTCCCCTTCCCCCCCCTCCCCGACCTCAGCTTGATACGACCAACTACTGTACTATCGCATCAATCAATCCCTTACAATTCTCAGACTGCTCGACTGGGCTGGTTTCTCGTGCTTTCTTTACGGTTGAACGCGCTGACGATAGAAATTCTGATTTACTCCTTACTCCCCTTCTTTTGATTCTTTTTCTGCCAACTGCGACCGTGTGGTTCTAGCACTCTTTCTTTCTATTTTGCTACTATTCCCACATCTTCTGCTCTCTTCATTCCCCCGGGGGCCTCAATTCATTTGCACCCCGCTTCCCGGCAGCCGCTAAGCGACACGGAAAGAGACGATCGACTCCAGCAAACCAGACTGACTGACTACTGGCTGCTCCCTATACCGCTCCCGTTCGCGCCAAACAGTGAAGCGTGCCTGTCTGAGAGATCCTCCTCCCTCCCACTCCCACTCTCCCCCAATTCGCCCCGATACCTTGAACTGAACTTCCTCTGAGGTAAGTCCTGCAGCTATAGTTTCCTGTTCCTCTTGCGCTTTCGGGAAACTGTTCTTATGTGTTTTGATCCACCTCTCTCTTTCTTCTCCCCCTATCAAACATCCCCCTTTCTGGTGTTTGATTACACCTTCCATCATCCGCTGGTTCTTTTGGGATCCTACCGCCTCACCCCGGTGCTCTGCGTTGCTGGCCTGGTGTCCACCATTTTCCACCCCCCTCATCCTACTATTTTCTATTTCTTTGATTTTGTATATTTCCCACCCCTGCGATTTTTTGCCATGAGCCTTGTTCCTGGACCTTGTGTCTCTCCCGTCAATTCGATTCGAGCGCTATGTTAGGTGGTGTTGTGGTTGGAAATGCTCATGTGGTCATTCCCAGGCCGACATAAATAAATCCCGACGTGGCTCTCCTGAAATTGCCTCCGCGCTATACCAACACCCTCCCCCATCCCTCCTGCTAGTGTGCGGCATCTTGCTGCACTGGCACCGAGATTGAGACCGAGTACATGTGGCTGTTCGACTAGTCGTGACAATGAAGGGCTTCAGACAGAGAGTGGTGAGTGTTCCCTGTTCACTTCCGCTGCCCCCTACACCCCGTTCCCCGCCTCCCTCCTGCCGATGATCAGCTCTCGTCCAACCCAACCCCCCCCCCCCCCCAAATTGCCGGGATGCAGGCTAATTTGCCCAGCATGAACAGTTGTCGAGGGCAAAAGACGCAAACAAATCCTCGAAGAAGAAAGACTCCTCCCACTCGTCCCAAAACAATGCCGCCCTCGGAGTCAACCACGGACAGCAGTCCTCTTCCCCTAACCAAGGCACCCCGACTTCGTCTACCACATCCGTGAATGATACTCGAGGAAA